CAATGGTTCAAACCCACCAACTTCTCTGAGGGAGAAAGAGGAGGCTGTCCATTATGAGTCTGAATCTATCCAATGGCAATGGGTTTTGTCGGGTTTAATTATTACCACTGAATAGTTTGGCAATTAATTTGGGCATGCTAAAATTTTATCTTTCATCTGTAAAATACTTGCACCTAAATTATTCCATTACCCCTTCCCAGAACTTTTAAAATCAGATAACAATAGAAACACGTAGCTTCTGAGCTGTGCTGTAGGATTAGCAAAGCTCATTTAGTTACATTCCTTCTTGCCGGTCATATTCTCAAGGCAGTTCATGTGTCAGTCAAGCAGACACTTGTGAGTTACAAGCTACTTCACACTTCTGTATTTCTGGCCCTGTGGCTCCCTTTGCAGGGACTATCTTCCCTTGCCTTCTACATCCAGTAATTCGTATTCATCCTTCAAAACCACTTTTTTTTCCAGGTGTGGAGGTCAGGAGAATTCTTGATCACCATCAGCGCATGGTCCTATGTTGTTCTTCATGGCTGAGTAGGCTGAGGCTCAGGTTGAGGGACACAAACCAAGTTCAATTCCACACCTTCCTAGGACATCTACGGAGAAAATGTAACAGAACCCAGAGACAGAGTTCAAATCATCCCTTGTTGTTGTATGAATGTCTGGATATTGAGCATGTACTTGCAATTCATTTACATCAACCACCCACTCAATGGTGCCATTATGGTTATTTCCCCATTTTAAAGATGAGAAAACCAAGATACAGAAGGCTTAAATGACTCACCTACGATCACCAACTAGTAAGTGGCGGAAACAGGAGTTGAATCCAGCCCATACCCCCGGTTTTCCACAACTTGGACAATATTTGCATCTGCCTCATTCCATAGCATCGAGTGAGACGATATGTGTCATGTCTCAGTGCCTGTTTTATGGAAGATGCACAAAGTACGGAGTTGTTAGTAGCTCTGGTCCCTGGTGAGCTAGTGGCTGAGGCGTTGAACTGCTAAATGCAAGGTCAATGGTTTAAACCCACCAGCTGATCTAAGGGAGAAGTATCAGACTGTCGCTCCTCTAAAGGTTTACGGTCTCCAA